TGTATTGAACAGAGAAATGTTGCGTCCGTTTCATCGCCAAAATATACAAGCGTTATACAGGGTATCCCAACGAAAATTTGACCCCCCCTACAATTGGAAAACCGAATAATATTTCAAAATTCGCCGAGACCCGTCGATTTTTGTTCTTGGGGGGAGCTTTTTTGACAGTCAAGCCAACTCGATATGTTCATCCCCCTAATGCCTAGCAACCCCAACTTAAAAATTTCAAATGCAACTACCCCACTTGTGGCACATCATTTTAAAGCCCTTTTCATTGCGAATACAGTGACGTACCGTTTTTAGAAATCGGTTGAGATTTGACAGAATTATTGGTTACAAACGAAAAGATGACAAACCAACTTACGCGTAGTAATTTCTACACAAATGCCCACCACTAATAAGTTTTTCATCTACTACACATGACCGCATTACCTAATTGTTATTGATGTGTCTATCAGTTTACAAAAAAGTCAGAAATGAAATAAAAAAGCTGAAGCAAATAATAAATCAGATTTATTTGATGAATTGCTCAAAATGACCCCCGTTAACTTCCAAACAATAATACAGTCTGTTTTCAAATTCTGTTCGAACATTATTAAAGACATCCGCAGTTATTAATCGGCATTCTTCTACAATTCTCTGACGTAGCACTTGCAATGTTTCCGGCTGAGTGGCGTACACTCGTGATTTTAAATGACCCCACAGAAAAAAGTCCAAAGGGGACAGATCCGGAGATCTTGGTGGCCATTCGACGGGACCTCTTCTGCCAATCCAATGCCCCGGGAAATGGTCATCCAAAAATTGTCGCACAGCAGCAGCATAGTGCGGGGGCGCACCATCTTGTTGGAAGGTTATTTCATTTTCTAGTAAATTGTCGTCACTTTCTAAAATCTCTGTTATCCTAGGATCAATTGTACTTTCCAATAATTCTAGATAGGTGTTTCCATCGAGATTACCTTGGATGAAAAATGGTCCAACAAGATGGTCGCCCAAAATGCCTGCCCAAACATTCAATTTTTGAGGTGTCTGAGTATGAAATTCCCTGATTAAATGCGGATTAGTATCACTCCAATAACGACAATTGTGTCTATTCACTTCGCCATTCAACATAAATGTGCATTCGTCGGAGAAACATGTATTGTAGAGAAGATTTGGATTCAGTAGAAGTTGTTCACTAAAGTATTCGCAAAATTGGTTACGGCGATCAAAGTCATCTTCATGTAACTCTTGAACCAGCGTCATCTTAAATGGATGAAACTTGTGTTTTTTCAAAATTCGATGAACACTGGAACGGGATACGCCAGAAGCTTGAGACACAGTTGTAATCGATTGCTTATTATCCATCTGTACATGACCCAAAACTGCCACTTCAACTGCTTCATTTCGAACTGGCCCAATTACTTCACGTTTCTTGTTTAAAAGCGAACCTGTTGCAACAAATTTGTCAATCAGGTGTTTAACGTACTGGTGGTTTACATTTTTTTCAGGATGATTGGCATTAAAAATTCGTGCTGTAGCTTTAGCGCAATCGTGATTTCGATAATAAATTGCAACAATTTCTACTCTTTCCGCGATAGAATAAACCATTTCGAACACACGTTAATACTTTCAATAACGGCTGAAACTAACGATTTCTTGGTCACAAGCAAAAAACACCGACTTTTTTTGTAGTACTGATTTTTTGTTATTTTGAAAAGGTCTGAATTCCTATAAACTTAAGTATCTTCTACTAATAACTATTTTAGTATCTAGTTTTATTTGCTTCAGCTTTTTTATTTCATTTCTGACTTTTTTGTAAACTGATAGACACATCAATAACAATTAGGTAATGCGGTCATGTGTAGTAGATGAAAAACTTATTAGTGGTGGGCATTTGTGTAGAAATTACTACGCGTAAGTTGGTTTGTCATCTTTTCGTTTGTAACCAATAATTCTGTCAAATCTCAACCGATTTCTAAAAACGGTACGTCACTGTATTCGCAATGAAAAGGGCTTTAAAATGATGTGCCACAAGTGGGGTAGTTGCATTTGAAATTTTTAAGTTGGGGTTGCTAGGCATTAGGGGGATGAACATATCGAGTTGGCTTGACTGTCAAAAAAGCTCCCCCCAAGAACAAAAATCGACGGGTCTCGGCGAATTTTGAAATATTATTCGGTTTTCCAATTATAAGGGGGGTCAAATTTTCGTTGGGATGTATGCGGGGTATGCTGTATGCTGGAGATGTTCCTCAGCGATAGAATTTTGTCGTTGGAAACTTCAACAGCATGCACAAAATGTTAGATTCATTTCGCTTGTCATATGATCTGATGAAGCGTTACTAGGGACGACATAAATTATAAACATAATGAACATATCTTGCGTTACAAAATCCGCATGCAATTAGATCAAGACGATTTCAGCAACGTTTCAATGTCAAACTTTGGGGTAGTATTTTCAACAATAATTTACTACCTGTACATATTTTAAATCATCTGTCTGGAATATTCTTGGAAAACAACCTTTCTAATTTTCACGACGTAGGACTTGATATTGCTCGAAATATGTGGTATCAGCACGATGGTATGCACCATCACATAGAGGGAGACAAGTAACTGCTTGGTTAAATGATCATTTCCCGTATAAATGGATAGGTCAACAAGGTCCAATAGCATGGCTACCGCATTCCTTAGATCTACATCCTTTGGACTTTTACTTATGAACATATGAAGCAGCTTGTCTACCATATTGAAATCACTACCCATCAGCAGTTATCTGAAATAATTCAGGATGCAGCTAACCAGATCCAAATTCAAATCTCGTCTGTCCAATGACGAAATCTTTAGTTGGTTTTTAAATTTGGTTAATAAAACTAATATGTAAACATTAAACACAAATAATAGTCTTTATTTGTCAGGCTACTTTGATTGAAATATGAAATTATAATTTTTAAAATGCTTGTAACCTCTAAACAAAAACGAATGGGACCTATGTTCATATGAAAAAAGTGTTTGAAATTAACTAGGCTACTATTTGCCAAAGTTTGTCATAGATCTTGTAGACCCTGTATATCGTAGGAATAATAAGTATGTTATGAATTCGTAAAATTTTATACGAACAGATTTTCATATTACATCTTCTAGAGTAAGTACTTAACGACTGTTATATTAATTTTAAAAAGTATATTGAAATGCACTCTATAACTCTAACTCTGGGGTTCCCTACAACCTTTCTGAAGGTTCAGCGACTTAGACAAAAATGCATTGCGCTTAATGCAGAATTTGTAATGCGATTACAACTTAGACAATAGCACCTGATTTCAACATATTATTATGTAAAAATATTCAAGCACATCCCAGACACCCATTATACATATTTACTCCTTTTTTTAATTATCCAATGAATGTTTACTTTAAACTTTAAAGTCTTAGTTTAATTTTCACTTAGTTGAATATTTATTTTGTTAATCTTAGTACCTATTTATAAATATATTATATAATCAATAAATTGTGTTCGAAATATTTTTTAGGTATGGGGGTTCCTCAAAAAATCGAAATGTTGCCCAGGTTCCGCAACTTAAAAGTTTGAAAATCGCTGATTGAGATCATTTTATCTAGATAAAATAAAATATGACATTTTTAACTATCTAGAAGATACATCAATCAGTGATCTTATCATAAATGAAACGTCTATTTTCATCTATAAATGATTTTAAATAAAAGATAATTTTGCGTCAACGCTGAACGGTCACAATACAAACAATAGAACGTATTGTCAAACAGTTCATTTTTAGAATTAATGTGTTTGTGAGTATCTGGATAATTTATTCTCCCACTTTATTTGGTTAGTATCTGCGGTCTTGAATTTTCATAAGCGTCTAATAAATAAGCATTGAGATGAAAATGTTTCAAATTATTTCAATAAAAAAAACTAATTATGACTACAATGTTCTATGCCTCCTTTAATTTTTTACCCTTCTTTTTCTTCAAAAACAAAGGGCCCAAGCCCTTACGATTTAATATTTAGAAGGTTTTAGATTTAATTCAATTACACAGTTTTTTTAACCTTTAAAGCGTTGTTCCACAATAAAACAATAATTTTAGATAATCGGTTATTTCTGGTTTTATGTTTTCAAAACTTCCTTCTTCCAAAAAGGAAGAAAGTTATAACGACTACACTAAATTACAAAGCACGTTACGTATAAACTGGTTGCGCCATTTTTCTGGTTAAGTATTCCATACATCACTTGCAGTGAAAGTGCAGAAGCACTACAGTAAGTATAAATGTAAAGTTAACTTATTTTAATTGAATTCAGTTCACAACATCATGACTTTACAGAGACGAAGGAAATATTTTGTACATGCAACATGAGATATAATCGTACACGTATGGCGCTTTGCATCAGACCATTCTACATAAGTAAGTGAAGAGAATGGTTGCGCTTCATTGAACTGTAACATTAAATATAAAGAAAAACGCTTTAAGTTGGTTACAGGATCGTGATTCATTAGTTAAGTTATAACCACAAAGATTAAAAAACTCGTTTTAAAAAATTTCTATGCAAAAATGAGCGGCTCATTCTGTAAGTCGAAGTATAGACAAAAATAATTTACATCGAATTTGCTTTAAATGCATATACCTTTAGTTTAGATCATTACTTTTATATTTTTTTTTGTTTTCTTTCTCAGTAAACTGTCGGGCCCAAAGTAACAATAAATACACTTTGGCTACCGAAAAAACTATTAGTTAATAGCTTTGCTTTGAGTGTGAAAATATACTTTGGCGCACAGTTTTACGATTCATAATTAATTAAGTAACCAAAACTTCATATCTTCAAATTAAAAATTTCTATAATCATTAAATCATTGGTTTATTTTTGTGTCAGATGATATTTGTTCAAATATTTTAACACTGAACACTATCCCGTATTTCCACAGAAAGGATACTAAGTACTTACATGCAATTCGTTTTAATATTTGACATCTTCCTCATAAGGTCAATACTTAAAAGAAAATAAACTCACTTAAAATCGTGGGGCTTAACTCCTCCAGGAAAATCGAAGTTCAAAAAATTCCATTGATTTACTATTTCCAAACTCAAAGCGTTAAGAAAGTAAGAATAAAACGTTAGCAGTCCCAGCTGTTTCTTCATTATTTCTGTAACAAAAATAATAGAATACAATAACTTATTATAACTTATATAAATTATTTCTGGCTCAGATTGGTTGTAACAGAATAAACAGAATTTAATGTACTACTATGCCGTAATAATATCTACTAATACATCGTTCCCATGTTATGAATTTCAACGTTAATGAAATATGTTTTATCATAGCCTTTATTGTCTATATTTGTTTATTTTGTATAACAATTCATTAAAGGAATGGGTGGGGGAGGAGGAGTGCTATAACTACGCATGAGTCAAAGTCGTACGACCGACAGCTGTATAGCCTCTTTCAATTGCCGTCTTTAGACAGAAAAGGACTTCCAGCATTGTTTTGACCAATGGAAAATTCGCATGGAGCGGTGTAGATAAGGGGCGTATATTGAAGGGGACAATAATTAAGAATGTTTAAATACAGGGAGTCCCCCCGGTACTTGATACAAAAAAAGTCGAGTACAAATAGACGAGGTTAAAATATTATCATTTCTTCATATGGGCCTTCGTTAATAAGTTACGGGCCCTAAAAGGTGAAAATTAAAAAGTTATTTTTATTTGCAGTCTCCATACTATTAACTTTAATATGATGCAAATTTGGTGATCGATAACATATGCGTATAGCTTGTTTTTGATGTGGTAAGTGAAATTTCATTATGCCCAGAACGCCAGGGACGGACTATGCCCAATGGTTAACAATTCAGAATTTTTGCATAGATGACGATCGCAATCTGCCTGTGTCAAAAATAAGTTCCCTGAAGAATTTGCCAACGATAATATCCGCTTGGTTCAACTCGGTAAAATTTACAGTTTAGGAAATATTTGTGATTTTATGTCACAGTGCACATCGAGCGGCGCCTCCACAATTTTTTGTTTTTATAATTTTTTTAATTGTACATAATTACTATGTTAGAACAGTACATATTTTTAAAATAATAGCCTAGAAAATCTTACTGTCTGCTAATGCAATTTTCACTAAGAAACTTTACACATAACACAAAATAGAAAAACAAAACATGAATAAGTTAAAGGAAGTTAAAAAATTAATTTAAACGAAAGAAAACTATCAAACATTTTCAATATGGGCACCTTCCACCTCCACACACTTCCTATGTCTATGAATGTTATTTGTTTGTACACAAAAAAGGAGTAATAATTTAATAAGTCCATACGTTTTTGAGGAACGTCTGAATGGGCATTTGGAATGTTTGCAAAATAATTTGCAGCCACTATTAGACGATGTTCCATCAGAAGAAACATGTGGTTCATGTATGATGGGGCCCCTCCCCATTTCAATATTGACGGACGAAATTGTTTATCCATTGTGTTTAATAATAAATAGATTGGAAGAGGAGGCCCAATTTCATTGCCACCACATTCTCCAGATTTTAACACGTTGAACATCTTCCTGTCGGGATATTCTTGTTTTTTTTTCTATTTTGTTATGTGTAAAGTGTGTCAAATTTTGTTAGTGAAAATTACATTAACAGACAGTAATATTTTTTAGACTCTTATTTTAAAAACATGTACGGTTCTAACATAGTAATTATGTCCAATTAAAAATTAAAAACAAGAATGGTGAAGGCGCCTTTCAATGTGCACTTGTGACATAAAATCATAAATATTTCCTAAACTAATTTTACCGAGTTGAACCAAGAGGGTTCATCAGGGAACTTATTTTTGATACAGGCAGATTGCGATAGTTATCTAAGCAACAATTCTTTATTGTTAACTATTAGGCATAGACTGTCCCTGGCGTTCTGGGCATAATAAAGTTTTACTTACAACATCAAAAACAAGTACAAGTATCAAGTACCGGGATACCCTGTGTAATTATAAAAAGTTTTACAGCATCAGTCTCGTTATTTTATAGCCACACCTCGTATATATGGAAATTAGGGTAGTAATAACCTCTTACATTGAAAATTGAAATAAATCAATCATATTTAAGAATCTAAACACTTTATATATTTTAGTATCCCTTTTTTTCCTTTAATTACTTTTCTTTTTTCAAGTTACTCTTGCTTTACTGGCTTTAGACTTTCAAATTATTTTATAACAGTCGCCATTAAGTTGCGAAATATGTCCAATTAGTTAAGATGTCATTTAAATTATAGTAATTATTAATAAATTCAGAAATAACTTTAAAATGTTCAAAAATTAGCCTAACAGTAATAACTTGAACTTGCTTTTAAAGAAATTGTGTTTTCTCCACCTCTCTAATATACATGTAGGTATACATATATCAAAGAGAAGAAATCTATTAATCAGTAATATCGCAGTAAATAACGTCGTCTACTTTTCAAATATATGACTCTATTACAACCCAAAAACATTTCATTTACTACTTTTAGATTAAATCTGGACAGGTTATGAAATTGGAACCAACTGCTCGTTTTCACATATGGTAATTCTTGGATTACTTATATGAGTGAGTCATATTTTAACTTAAAAAAAAAATAACGAAACATCTTTTACAGTATTTGTTTCATATCCTCGCAAGAGTTGTGCAATACTAAGTATTTATTTATACAGTAGTGAATGTTCATTCAGCTCACAAGGTGAGGCATATCCAAAAGGTATGTATTACACTTAATCGTAATTGTGTAATTTTAACATTATTGGCATCCGTAAACTGAGAAAATTCCACAAAGCCTACTCCTGAATAGTTTTGTAAATTCAGCACACAAAATGTGTTATAATTAGGGCTGTCACAATTGGTCCGCTAGCCATTGGCGCCGTTAGTCAGTGGCCTAGTTGTCGGTTTAGTCGCCGATTTGCCCGTAATCGAACGACTTCTTTTACAATTTTAGTTGTCTTTAATGCTGCATAATTGTATGTACTTATGTCGAGCACATAGTTAGGTCTGTTCCAACAAAAGTCAGGGATTGGTTCCAAACCGTCAGAAATGTGCATCCAACTAATTCTTGCGATATATTCACTGAAGACACATTTAGAATTTAGCTGGCCAAACATTTCGAACGGTTGCGAACCAATCCCTGACTCTTGTTGGAACAGACCTGTTAGTACTAAAGAACAGCAAATACTATATTATACTATTTAAAAAAAAACAAATTTACCGGTAAGTATCTACAAAATTATTAACATAATATAAAAACTATTCAGGTGGAAAACAAAACAGAGATATATTTTTTGGAATAGAAAAGAATTTTATGAAAGTAATGAGTTCTAAAAGTACTATTTACGCTGCTCCTTTCGTTTAAATGTTTGATTTTTTATTTTTTTCATAAAATTAATAAAGAAAAGCAAGGAGTAATAAATTATGTACTCAGGTCAGCATCACAACTTTATCAGTAGTATTTGTCCAACAAAGTAGCACTAAATACGTGTTATTTCAAGTGCATGTGGGTCATAGGGAAAGTTAAATAACGAACAATACTTTCTTTTACTAAAAAAATATTTAAAATAATGTAATTCAGTTTATACATACTTGTACATGTATGAAAACATTTAAAATAAATATTCATAAACATAGAATAATAAATATAAAACAGTGCACACAACACACGTATAAAAAACATGGCGGAAACCAGAAGACTCAATTTATGTTTGATTGCATGTAACCTACCATTTGATATAGTAAATAATAAAACATTTAATTCCTGCTGGAATATACAGGGTGTTTCTAAAATAGGGTTCCAAACTTCTGCTGCTTTTATATAAGAAAATGTATTGAGAAAATAAGAGATGCAAAATTCGAAATCCGCCTAGATTTTCGCAAAAACCATTGACAGAACTGCCGACGTGATTCGTAGTCATTCGGTATTAAAGCTTGAACACGCTGGATATGAAAAGGATGAAGTAGTTGTTCGCAAAGAATTCGCCAAACTACGGAAAAACTTATGTTATGCATACGTGCGACACTTCTTACACTAACCCTTGGATTGTCCTGCACAGCTCTCAATACATTTTCTTCCATCACCGGTGTTCTTACAAATCTGTATCTGCCACGATCATTTACTCTTGGTTGGAACGAACCATTTTCTTTTAAACGTTGATGGATCCTCTGAAATATCTGTCGAGAAGGAAGTCTTCTATTCGGGTATGCTGCCGCATACGCCTCGCTTCTGATGCATTTCCAGCCGCACGGCCGTACATAAAATGCATAACTGCCATTTCCGTGTTTGAATATGACTCCATTTTATGAGTTGCAATAATGTTGTATACTTAAATTTTCCACTCACCACTTTTACTAATTAAACAGTGCAAAGCTCAATTGACAGTTTATCAATAACTTAAATTGTTAAGCGTTGTGGCAACGTCAGTCTTTTATTTGCCATGGTAAACAGATTTTTGTAATTTTTGGCCTAATAACTTAAAGAGCAGAGTAATTTTCAAACTCAATTTACTCGAAAACCATTGGAAATATCGATTTGGACAAAGATAAAAATTTTTACGTAAAATTGTTAAGATTTTATAAATCTGTAGAGAAAATTGTAAAAAAATTGAAATAAAAAAATTACGGGCCGAAAACCCCCTTCACCAACCTAAATGGGACGCATATGATTTGCATGTCGAAAAACGGAGTAGCCCATGTTATTTAACGTAAAAAGTTATGTAAGACCCATAAATTTTTTTCTATTTATTTGCGACCGTTTTGACAATAACAGAAAAAAAAACAGTTCTGTTTGAGCTCTTTTAAGGGCATATAACTTCCTAAGGGTGCGTTTTAGGGCACATGTTAATAGGAACTTTTTGACTTACTTTAATGTGTTATAAACGCAGCAGAAGTTTGGAACCCTATTTTAGAAACACCCTGTATACAACCCTGAGTGGAAATTACCATGTCGGTCCAGCTGGGAAGTAGATTATTTAATTATGGAAATATTACATTAGTAGATATCGAATGGTCGTTCTCTTCAGATTAAGATATTTTATCACTGCCGCGAATAAGTTTCGCTGAAACAAGGATAGGAACATATCTGATGATGCGATCTATAATCCAGATTTCACAGTCATACAGTGACATAAATCTTAT